GAGCGTTTGGTCGTGTGTTCCCAGTGCCATCTACTGTAACAACGCCATGATTGGCCCCTTCCAGCGCACCGGATACAACGTATACGATATCCGTGAGAAGTGCAAGGACCAAGCCAACCTTTGCTACACCGAGACTGCTTGGATCAGCAAGTACCTCAACGAGGAGAAGGTTCTTAAGGCAGTCGGTGCCGAAGTGCAAGACTACGAGAGCTGCAACACAGATATCAACAGGAACTTCTTGTTCCAGGGAGACTGGTCGAAGCCGTTCCACCGCCTCGTTCCAGACATCATCAAGCAGATCCCAGTCCTTATCTACGCTGGTGATGCTGACTACATTTGCAACTGGCTCGGCAACAAGGCCTGGTCGGAGGCTCTTGAGTGGCACGGCAAGAAGGGATTCAACGCTGCCAAGCTGGAGGATCTCTCCAAGGGCGAGGACAGCTACGGTGTCGTAAAGAGCAGTGGCAACTTCACATTTGCCCGAATTTACCAGGCCGGCCACATGGTTCCGTTTAACCAGCCCGAGGGCTCTCTGGACCTGTTCAACAGGTGGCTCGGAGGCGAGTGGTACGCTTGAACAAAGAGTATTTAGACTCTTGTGTGATTAATTGTTCGTAATATGTAACGCAGTCACTAGAACATTGCAGATGAGGAGTTTCATGTATCTTATGGAATTATGATTAGAGATCCCTGGGGCTGTGACATGTTCGGGGTTTGATGAATTTGTTTGGATCGAGATAGCAGTATACGACTCAAATTGCAATAAATGTGAAACTCATTGACAACGTTTATTTTATTGAGTGATGGGCGTATGACTAAGTTGTAGATAAATGAGAAAACATGTTAGGCAATGTTGCAACAGATAAATTACGAGAGCCTCGATGCTGTTCGCCAGGAGGTCCCGTACTCAAAGATCGTTGTGGGATTTACTCTTGTCTCATACGCTCATGCGAGGTATCCGGCTCAAGATCAGGCGTGGAATCGAATCTGACCGAGCATTGGCAAAAGACGGGTTCATATCACATGCATTCCTCTGGATAATCCCGTTGGTACCGCCTTCGATGATACTCGTAACAGTATTGCGGCCACCTTCGAAGACACAATGAACCTGCGTACGTGACCTACCTACCTCGTAACATCGCACCTTTCTTTCGCAATGCATTATAAGTGATATAATCTAGTCGATTCGCTTAGGCAAAACGGACTCAAGCGAGCGATGACTACCGGCATTGAAGGGGTGCGCCATATTTAGGTTGACTTGGCGGGTTCTGAAAAACAATTGGTAACATCGAGAAGAAATTTCAAAGCGCAGATTTCGCCAGTCGAGAATTTGTCTCTGGATCTTGTGGGGGCTTAGCACAGCCACTGATCTATACCAAGCCACGTCATTGGCCACCCCCTTAGTGGGCACTCTGAAAGTTAGGGGGTACATCCTGAAGATGGTTTTATCCATCAATTACATCGTCAAAAGAAGATAGAGAATACGAAATTATTGTAGTAGGTACTTCTAACCCAAACTCCCCTAGTTATCGCAGCATACGTTTGTTGATATTGAGAAATTTCTATATAATTCGTTGAGAGGTTCAATCACCCTATGTTTTACTTCAAGCTTCAATTAAACTCTAGGTACTATGCAACCCATGGGTAGGTAGTGTTAACATACGCAATGTCCAAAATCGCATATTATTTCAATTGCTCTTTCTATTACCATAGGTTATGACCTGAATAGTATGATATAGAATGTTCCTCCCTTCCCAATCAGGACTTATATCATGGAAATCGAAGCCACAGGTCAAGAGGTCGAGTTGCTATTACCCAAAAGTGCCAACGGAAATAATGGTAAGCTTGTCCAGTTGATGCTATCATACACAACCTACATGTAGGATTTAGATAGCCAATATCGATCTAGTTATACTATTCATTCTCTTCATCAAAATCTTGTTTTGATCTTGTTCTTTCGATATCGAACATTAACATCCACTTGTCTTGGGCCAAAATGGAGAGGTTCACGAACTACGGTCCAATTTTACCCAGGCTTGTCAACTATGCTTTCTTTTTCATTTTTGTACTTGTTCTTGTTTCCCAGGAGGCTTATGTTGATTCTGGTATGAATATGGCACTGAAATCTTTGGCGATTCGTGGCCTTCGTCCGAGTTGATTCTAATGGCCCGACAGGTCAATATGACAGTCATCGTTGTCTAGCTCTCTTGCAGAATGGAACGTGGTCACCCCCATTGTTGGACGGCTCCCGACGATGGGAACCAAAAGACTGTCGTATGGTCGAGCATACTGCCGACTCCCTCTGCGGATGCCTTAATGGGCGGAGAGTCGTCTTCGTCGGCGATTCTTCAATCCGCCAGCTTTTCTGGGCTGCTACTCGGCAGGCCACCCACACCAAGTCCGAAACCAGAATAGATCGCGTAGTTTATTCGAACAACAAGCATCATAATCTCTCTGTTTCGACTGATTGCGCTCAACTAGAATTCATATGGGACCCCTGGTTGAACTCCACTGCCCTGCACGGTATACTGGAGGACTTCCATGCTCTACTTACACCTGATGAGAAAGCAGTTGGCGAAGCGAGTGAATTGCCCCCTACACTCGTAGTACTAGGCGCCCCTGGACACTGGGCTGCTCGATACGGTGGGGACGAATATCTCAATATATTCAATCGATCAATCACGAGCATTGAGCCTTACCTATCGCAGAGCTTGGATAGCAATATATCATCCGCAATGGAAGTGACGCAGGATTCCGATGGTGTCCCGAACCGGGTTTTTCTAACACCAGTAGGAATTCCATACTATGACCACCTTGCTCCGAATCGGTCCATTAGCATTACGCCCGGACGGATCGAGGCTATGAATGGCCATCTCGCACATGTCTTCCCGAGCAACTTCGCATACGTCCCTTGGGTCTACAATCAAATCTCTATGCACCCCATAGATTTCGCCGCAGATGGCTTACATGTGTCAGACAAAATAGCAGAACTGAGACTGAACATTTTATTCAACGCGCATTGTAATTCAGCAGCAAATGCCCGGTCACGCTCTTTCAAGGGTACATGCTGTGTTACTGTACCCGACAACGCAGTATTCACGGTAGTCTGCATCATGCTGGGAGTCACAGTGGCATTCATGTCTGGGGCGCGCCAAGCGAAAAAGGTTATAGGGACTGACGATACCCTCGAATTGGCCCTGGCCCTTACGAACATACTCGCTGCCCTCGTGTGGAGTTGGTACACCGACGGGGCCTCCTACGTGGCGAAAATCGAACGCCACTATCAGCAATACGCTTTCATCATAGCTTGTTTTTTCTGGTCGAAAGCTTGTTTCCTGTGGATAAGGAGAGTCCCTCAGGAAGCGGGTAGTCCTTTTCTGAACTATCGTGGCCCGGGATACTTATCGCGGAGCCACTCCAACGAGATCAAAGGTCTGATGCAAGGATTCATCTTGCTCTATCACTACCACTATGCCTCGCAGGCTCTTTGGGTATACAAGATCATCCGATTGTTTATCGCCGGATATCTCTACATATCCGGCTACGCGCATACCCTGTATCTTCTTACGACCAACGACTTCTCCTTGCGACGCTTCACGGAAATTCTATTCCGTATCAATATGCTGAGCGTCCTTTTATCCTATATGATGGGAACAAAGTACACCGCGTATTACTTCGCCCCCGTCGCCACGTTCTGGTATGTTGTCTTGTACACGACGCTTTTTTTCTTCGGGGGGCGCAATAGCAAAACGCGTCGGCTACTTCTCGGTATTGTAGCGATGTCCATACTCGTCAATTCGTTCATACTCAAGCCTAGTATTCTTGAAGGTTTCGCCAAAGCTATTTACGCTATTTTCTTCATATCCATAGATGTCGAAGAAATGCGGTTCAGGTTGGGCCTAGATCGCTACATCACCTTTGTCGGAATGATTGTAGCGGCTCTTGTCCATCGCGCCTCTACCCGTAGAGCGCGAAATCTCCTTGGTCCCGTCTGGGTCGAAGCGCTCCCTTTAAGGCCTATAGCCTTGCGGTATATCGTCTGCGTAGCAGCCATGGGGTGGTTCTTCTTTCTCACCCAATCCTATCTGCCAGATAAACGGACATACAACCAAATCCATCCTTATATATCCTGGATCCCGATTCTATGCTACATAGTGCTTCGGAACTCTCACCGGTGGCTAAGAAAAACGTACCTTGTATTACCTAGTCTCCTCGGCCAGATATCGCTGGAGACATATGTCCTACAATACCACATTTGGCTGGGCGGAGATGCTACAGCAAAGCTTACAATGGGCTATTGGCAGAGCTACTTGGGGCGGCTGGCTGAGATAGTACTGATCACTTCTGTATTCATCTTGCTTGCAGCTGGTGTGAATCACGGTACGAAAGAGTGTTCTCGTTGGTTGAATGTAGCGATAGTCTCAGGGTTGCTTTCGGCATTATGGACGGCAAATATCTTATACAGTGGTGTACTGGTGCGAAAGACGCAAGCGGTATAGCGAAAATAAGGGGCTTTGAATCTGGTTAATAGTCTCGATAGTCTTTACTATAATTGTCAGCGGAGGTTCAGCAAATTAGTATTATAAGGCAATCAAGGTTCTGTATAGATAAAGGGAACTGACAATAAATGTCATTGCGCTGCTCTTCTTTTGAACTATCGTGATCCATGGTTCGCCGTAGTTTCAAGTCGAGATCTGAAATACAACTAATAAGAGTTGTTAAATCACGTAGTATACAAAGTGCCCATGTAAGCTCCCATGACTTTAATGCACACCTAAATATCTTCACCCTTATCTATGCCTCCCCCCCCTTTCTTCCTTCCTTCTTTCATTTTCAAAAAAAAAAAAATATTTTTTTTTTAAATTTTTTTTTCGCCACGATGTACATATGCATGTATGCTGTGACTTCTTGATGTACCCGCCGAGTAACCAGCGCAACGGGGACAACCCGCAGGGACGTTAAATAGAGTAATCGCCGACCATCTTTCACCAGCAAACAAAGGCCCAGTGGTGTAGTGGTAACACGCTCCGGTTTCCTGAGGCCTGGGGGATAGACTGGGATAGATTGGGATAGAAGGGAATGCTAAGGACGGAGTCGCCGGAGTATCGCAGGTTCAAATCCTGCCTGGGCTGAATTTTTTTCTTTTCTCTTTTTTTATTCCATTAGCTTCTTTTTTAAAAAAAGTTTTTTTTATGTTCAGAAATTGGATTCACGCCATGGTCATTTTTAATTCTATCTGTTAAGTGTTCTCTTTTAAGTGTCTCTAGATTTATGTTCGCGATAAAGGGGTAAAAAGAAGAAAGCCTATATTCCTAACCAATATACCTCCTATGTTCGAGATTGAAGCTATAATAACTCTCTGATCATCATAGAGTTTGTGAAGATAACGATACTAGTGTTATAATATATTAAATAAATACCATGCATATTTAATAAGATGACAAGAAATATTCTTACTCGACGCTTACTCTACGAAACTCGGCACCTCTCTAGCTAGTCCTATAGGAAAGGATAATATCTGGATTATATTGGGCCGATAGATTGATGCTTAGGTCTCCATACACATCAGAAAGTGCGACTCGACGAATCTTCAGTTTAAACTGGAAGCCTAGATTTTATTTCTTGTTTGTTTGCAGAGTAGGTAGTATATATATGCATGATAATATCTCTGGGCCCTCTCTTTCTTCGAGATTGCGTACCCTAAACAACCCATAAAGATCGATGGCCTGTAATAGGCGTGTCTTACGCTTGGAGGAGAAAAGAAATGCCGAATCGTATCCTCCTAGGGCATCAGATAATCGGTGTCATTCCCAAGTATGATTCCAAGGTACGTTAGCGGTACGTTGTTTAGGGCCTGGAAAGTGCAGTCGGCAAGAACATCCCCCTCCATGCGCATTCAAGGTGGGTGAGGGTAGTGTGCTTATTTGGTAGACTTCTAGGTGGTAATATAGAGTGTAGGTATATGGGAAGAATCTGTATGGTATATAATTAGAATCTTCATATGTGTTACAAATTTGCCGTAGGGGAAGAAATCACTACACCACTTTACCGCACATGTATTCGAGGAAATCCTAACCGAAGAATTCGCATGTAGGTATATGCTATATTTGTATTGATAATGGTGTCTCGCGATTAAATTTGGTTCCTTTCGTCCCGACCAAAGCACTGCGTTCAATGAAATACACTCAGGGGTTGTAAGAGCTCTTTGGTTCAGGGATAACGAGAACATGAGTGTTTCAAATATCTAGGCAGTGCTAGTAGATATGTTTACAGGTTCCCTAATGCGAATATAAAAATTCTCTTAGCCGGGGATAAATTTTAAGTCCTTTTTTCAGCGTTAGAAGTTAAGTAGAACGGGGAGAAGGGATGTAGACAAACTTACAAACCATCGTAACCACTCTCTCTAGTGGCGTATGCACCCATGATGGTAATAATATCGTAAAATATTTCCAACCTAAGCCAGGTAGATAAGCAGGTAACGAAAGTAGCTGCAAATATGAGATCCGAAGGCAAACTTAGAGGTCAAATTTATATGATATTGCAAAGGCGATTGTCAGCATGACGATTCTTTCGCAGGATGAGAATGGTGCACGTGGTAGTAATAAGGAGCAGGGGTTAAAAGGGGGAAATGGGAGAGCGAATAAATGGAAATTGTAAAAAGAGGCATTGCAGAACAAAACAACATGAAAAATAGAATAAAAACCAAAAAAGCTCAGCCCCGGGCTCGAACCCAGGACCTACGAAAAACCGGCTTCGTTAGGTATCGGTTGTCGAGTCACGTTCTTCGGGCCCGAAGAACGGTCCAATAAAGGACATCACAGTGGGGTTTTCTCTGACCTCAAGTTGCCTGGGTGCGTGGAATGGGGCGTTGGCTGATTTTTCAGTTTGTAATTTAGATATATAATTTGTATAATAAAACCTTACCATAATAAATTTATTTTATAATAAATCCTTGTGTTAGTAAATTAATTTTGTAATTTTTGGGTTTTTATATATAAAATAATAAATTTTTTTATATAATGAAATTTGTTAATTTTAATAATTAATTACTATTTAATTTATTATATATAATAAAAGATATTTTAAAATTTTTAGGTGGTTGGGTTGAATTTTAAGGAATTTTAAAGAATTTCAAGTGGTTGGATTAAATAAGTTAATTTAATTAAGTTAGTATAAGGTTTATAATATGAAAAATTGTATAAATTTTGGTATTTTATTAGTTAAAATATAAAATAGTCTTAATTAAGTGGGTTTTTAAATTTATATGGTAAATTAATATTTATTTATAAATATGGTATTTTTAATTTAATATTTTTATTAAATAGTTTAAAAAATAAAGAATTTGTTATTTTTTAATATGATATTTATAAATTTTTAATATTGGTTTATAATTATTAAAAAATAATAAAAAATAATTTATAATATATAAATTTAATATTTTAAATAGTAGTAATAAAAGTATTAAAAGTGGGTTGAATATAAATATAAATGTTATTTTTTAATTTTAATAATATATATGATCTTTTTGAATAAATATGTTTATTTAGATTGTATTAATTTGAAAAATTTGGAAGGTATTAAGTATTTTATAAAAGTTGATTTTTTAAATTTTGAAAGTGTTTTTTTTGAATAGTAATAGTATTTATAAACATAATATATTATAATTATTAGTGAAATGTTTAAGGTGGTGGTATGTTAATTATTTGAAAAATTTAATAATAATATTTTTTATGTAAGTTATTTAATCTTAATATAATTAAATAATTGGTTATTTATATTTAAAAATTAATATAATATATATTTATATATTTGATATGGGGAAAATGGATTAGTGGATTAATTAGTAATTGAATTTTGTATGGTTGAAATATGATTAATTATTAATTTATATGTTTTAGAGGATATATATAATGTTAATGAAATGGTTTTTTTTTAAAAAATGGTTTTTAATTATATGTTAATTTGTTGGTAGGTATGCATGTAAGATAAAAGCAAAATAATAATAAAATAAATAATAATAGGGGTAAGATTAATATATTGTAGTTGTTTAAAGAAGAAAGCTATTTAGGAGAGATAGGTAAGAAATTTATCTTTATATAATAATAAATATATAAATATTTCTTAAATATTATTGAACAGGAGCTCTAATAGCTCCTGCAGGATATGCCCTATACTTCAATTAACCCATATCAAGCCAGAGGCTGTATGAGCTAGAGGATACAAGGTGACTATATCCTGAGGAGGGGAATAGGCTGATCGGATAGAGAATCTGATAGAGGTGACTGCTTGCTAATGGTAGCGCACTATAAGAGGATATCTTTAAAGAGGAGATTGAAACTGTATATTCTCGTACGAAGACTCTATGGAGAAACTGAGCTATAGAACCTGATGAGTCTCTGCTGATCAGACAAGAAAGACAACTCTCGAGGGCCTATTTATGTCCAAAAGAGCTGTGGAGCCTAGGAGGGTCTAGCTCTAAGGAGGAGATAGGGTCTCTACAGGGTAGTATCTATGACCTAATCGCTCTACACCGGTTCAGAGCTCCCCAGAGTTGACGATGTTGAGCCTTCAACGAGTCAATCTCGACAAAAGAACCGGAAAAACAACCTAAGAAACTGATCATGATACCATATAAACCAAACCAAGAAAAACAATAATCCTAACCCTAGCTCCCCAAGTCTCTAAGTCGTAGTCCTGCTGCTCCAAACTGGCTGATCAGGCATGTTCAAGTACCGGTAGCTGATCAACTGTCATAGCGAGGCTAAATGCTGACTTGACAATGTTCCAGCTTCGAGCGCTTCGTGGCTCCTATTCAGTGCTCATCATATGTTTAGCGAGCTGATCGGGTCGCTGTCGGTCTCTGGAACTGATAGGCTTGCCATAACAGTGACTCTGCTGAACTGACGATGCTCAACCTTCGAGCGCTTCGTGGCTCCTATTCAGTACTCTTCATGGCGTGGCGAGCTGATCGGCCATATTCAAGTACCTGTAACTGACGAAACTTGCTATGACGGTGGCTCTGCTGGCTTGACGATACTGACTTGACGCTGCCGACCTTCGAACACTTGATGACTCTATTAAACACTCGCTGATCTCGATTGTGTGCTTAACGAGCTGATCGGTCGTGTTCAAGTGTCTGAAGCTGATCGACTTGTCGTGACGATGACTGAATACCATAACTTGACGCTGCTGACGGTGGTGCTGATAACTGGTGGGCGGTAACTGACGAGCGGTGACTAGTGACGATATTGATACCAGATGAGGCTTATATGAAGCGCGCTGGTCTGATCAGGCGGGATATAAGCTCTAGAGGAGAGAAAACGGCGTTGTAGAGGTGAGAGGAGGAAAAGAGTGTTTCGGGAAGAAGAGAGCGATTGATGCTAGTATATGCTCCAACTCATGATCGTCGCTTAGTAAGCTGAAGCTGCTTTTTGGGCACCCTGATCATGAATAGCATCTTTCGCCTGTACACCATGGCTCAAGTCCATGGGCTTCTTCCTTCCTCTCCCTCTCACCCTCTCTCTCTCTCCCCGGGGCTTATTCTTTCAGACCAAAGAACACTTGATATCATCTGATCGGCTACCAATCAACAAGGCTCAAGAACTGAGAGCTCCCCAGTTGTCAACAAGCATGGTTGGTCTGAGACTAGACGAGAAGGAAAAACAAGACAACAACACAAGATATTGCTGTATGGCGAATGTAAACAACCTGATCATCGATCGATCACTGTGTATATGAAAACCAAAACCCAGAAACAATATAAAAAAAATTTTCACACTTATTTTTTTTTTCTTTTCTTCTTTTTCTTGAAATGCCTAATCTTAGTCGTAGGCGGGCGACGATGCTGTATACCAACTGACCTAACACTGATCAGCTGGGTGGGTATAGGTAATGCTCTTGTACTGGACAGCTTGAGTACAATCGCCGGTATGGGGTGTGCTGGTAGGGGGGGTAATAGACGTTCGGGTTCAGGACTCTCTGACTCAAGACTCTTAGACTGCTCGAACATGATCTTCTTCTCTATAATCTCTTCATGATCATGCTCGATATCTATGTCTGCTCTCTCTTGGTAACTGTATGAGGGGTCCTGCTGTATATCGTCTGTATGTATGTGGGGGGTCTGTAGTAGGGG